GTGGACCTCTACAGAAAGTCATGATCTCAAATCTGGAGGTCCTCCTGTGGAAAGCATCTGGGTCAGAGGAAAAGGAGGAAGAAACCAGGGGATGCCCTTGGGGGACTCTGCTAGAGGCCCCCACCCAGGCAGAGCTTTCGGGAACCACTTTCTAAGTCCACTCAGCAAGTTTTCAGGAGGGCAAACTGTGGTAAAGGGAGACCTCCCCTCTCCCAGGATCTGCTGGGGAACTGGCTCTGGAGCAAGTTACCGGGGTCCAATAGGTTTTTCATCTCTCTTGCTGACTATTTCATGTTTCAGAAGATGGAAGAAACAAGGGGTCAGCTGTCCCATAAGTAACCTTGAGCAGGAGAGAGGAAGCAATCAACAGATGGAAGGTGTCAGGCACCGGGGCAGAACTGACCACCACATCATGCTGGCATTAAAGCCAATGGGGGGGAGGGCTGGAGAAGTCAGTCAGCTATCTTGGATTTCAAGAGGACAGGTGTTACTGAGCTCAGGTGAAAGGTGGGCAGAATAAATGGCCCGAAATCCTGAAGCATAAACAAGCCCAAGAGGGGTCAGGGTTCCTGAAAGCCCAGGTGCATCTGATCCTATGGAAGGGGAAATGGGAGAAGTTTAAAGAGGTCTGTTTGGACAAATAACTGAGCTCCGGAGAACTTGAGGAGCAAAATAGGGATGTCTGAGATAGGAAGGTGCTGCTAAAAACAGAGCAGGAGCAGAACCTGGTAGCAGAGCTTAAAAGGACGGAGCATGAAGGCTAAAGCGAAGGACGAGGAGAGGCTGGTGAGGAACCAGAAAGGGTGCCGGGAGGAGCTCCGAGGCTACATCCTACAGAGAGTGCTTGAAGGAGCTTGGTACATTTAACCTAAAGAAAAAAGGCTGAGGGGCAGCAGTCTTCCAATACATGAAAGATGTCACAGGGAAACCCCCTGTAGATTTATTCTCTGTAGTGCCTGAGCACAGGACAAGAACCAACAGGTGCAGTTTTATAGAGGGAGATCCAGCCTCAAAATAAGGAGGGATTTCCTGACCATGAGCGCTACAAAGCAGCGGGACAGCCTGCCTTCTGGAGTTCTGGGGCTCCCTCACCGGAGGCCTACAAAGGTTGGAGGGCCATTTGTCTGGGGCAGAAGAGGTTTCTTGCCCAGACCTCCGGGGTCCCTTTCAACCTTTGGATTCTATGCACGCAACACAGAATAAGGAGGGTTATCTTCAGCGATTCATAGAGGCTGTTTTCCTGCCCTCCCAAAAGGGGTGCTCCCCGCTCTTTACAGAGGTGTAAGACCTTCCCTCTTGTGCCTCCAGAGATGGAGAAGCTCTCTATCTCCTTCCTTTCCATGATTCTTATTTCCCGTTGCTTCCAGGGTCCTTTTCACACTGGGCTGGTTGCTCCTCGTTTGCACGGCTGCTGCTTGTCGCAATCTGTGTCTAAAGTCCAGTGCTGGAACATGCTGGCCTGTTTTTCTTATCGGCAAGGATAAAGTGACTTTCCCTCCACTGAGATCTGGGGGAATGTCCACATCTAATAACTCCCACTTTCATTCTCCCACCTGCATCTTGCTTGGTGTGCCGGGACTGGAGCCTCTCCATCCCTGGCTCTCCATCCCTGTCTGTGCTGGGTATGTTATTGCTCTTCTGGGGAACGTCACCATCCTCTTTGTTGTGAAGATGGAAGCCAGCCTCCACCAGCCCATGTTCTACTTCCTCTGCCTGCTCTCCTTCATAGACCTGGGTCTCTCCACCTCCACCCTGCCCAAGATGCTGGCCATTTTCTGGTTTGGCCTGGGGGAGACCACTTTTGGTGCCTGCCTGGCCCAGATGTTCTTCATCCACACTTTCACAGGGATGGAATCTGTGGTGCTCTTGGCCATGGCCTTTGACAGGTACGTGGCCATCTGTGACCCTCTGAGATATGCCACCATCCTGACCAAGGAGCAGGTGACCTGGATATGTGTTGTTGTGGTGTTGCCACCAACAATTCTTGTAATTCCCATGGCTTTGTTGACTCTCCGCTTGCCCTTCTGCAATGCCCATATCATCATCGCACATACATACTGTGAGCACATGGGCATTGCCCAGCTGGCCTGTGCAGATATCCGGGTGAACAGCGCCTATGGCTTATTTACTATTGCCTTTCTTATGCTGAGTTTAGCCTTTGTTTTTGGGTCCTATGTGCTAATCCTAAAGGCGGTTTTCCATCTCCCTTCTAGGGAGGCCCGGCTCAAGTCCTTGAGCACCTGTGGCTCCCACGTTGCTGTAATTTTTGTCTTCTACACACCAGCCTTCTTCTCCTTCCTCACCCACCGCTTTGGACATAACATTCCCCACTTTGCCCACATCCTCATTGCCAACCTCTATATCATTCTGCCTCCAATGCTCAACCCAGTCATTTACGGAGTGAGGACCAGGGAGATCCGGAAAAGAATTCTGCATTTGTTCAGCCCTGGAAGGGGAGCTTTGACCAACATTTCCTGATGTTTTTGGTGCATGTAAAAAACCTATATGTATTAATACTTTGCACCAGAGTTTGCTGGACACCAGGTGACCACAGCCAGAACACCTAGCAGTGAAGCACTGAAGTACAAGCTCCTGATTAAAGAGCTTGTCTTTCAACTGGTAAAAATAAGGAAAGCTGGATTTCAACGTAGTGTTTTATAAAGCAGATTTTTAAAAGGGAGAATGCAGCATAGATTTTATAGCATCACTGAGAACATATAAGTAGCAGGGCTCTGTTTGTAGAGCCCACGAAGTCTTCCCGAGGGTTGCAGACCCTCCCTTCTGCAGCCTGGACAGGAACTGGAATATCCGGAGTAGCTGGGAAGCACCGCTTAGTCTCATTTTGGGATCTGAACAGAAAATGTCTGCCTTATTCCACCCACAGTGGCTAAGGATGCTTTAAACCTGAATTGTACATGCTTTTCTTTCTAAGAACAGATCCGTGGCTGCACAGCTTACCTATTTCTGGCTTAGTTCATCAGACATAATTTGGTCTCCTCCCCTCTCAGGTCAGAGTGGGACGAAGGGACAACGAGGCAAGTGTAGCTGGGCCCCACCTTCCCTTCTCTCCTCCCTTTCCATCAACATCATCTTCCAAAATATTTCCAGCCCTGCACACCTGACCTCAAACTAGAAGACAGACATAAGCCAGCCCCCAAACTTTCCTCTCTGGTTGTCTGGCAGACCAGGAAATCCATTCACTCCTGGGGAAGTGGGCTGGGCTGAACCAAAAACGACAAACCAAAATACACTCCCCA